CACACAAGTCCTAAAAGTAGATAAAGAGAATCCAGTTAAACAAATGAAACAAAAATATTATACTTGATCGTTTATTTACTGAGGAAAATGATCCAATATTACATATCGGTGATGGTAAAAGTATGTGAACCTTTGCTCTCAGTATCTTTATCAAACTGCAGATGAGCAGCCATGTTCTTGTTGGAGAGCAGTGTCTTCCTCCTTCAACCTGCCATGAACCATTGATGTTCAGTTCTCCTGATGGTGGACTCATGAACATCAACATCAGTCAATATGAGAGACCTTCAGGTGTTAGAAGTTACCCTGGGCTCCTTTGTGACCTCGCTGACTATTACACACCTTGTTCTCGGAGTGATCTTTGTTGGTCCTCCACTCCTGGGGAGGAGAACAATGGTCCTGAATTTCCTCCATTTGTTCACAATCTGTCTGACTGTGGATTGATGGAGTCCAAACTCTTTACAGATGTTTTGTAACATCTTCCAGCCTGATGAGCATCAACAACTGTTTTTCTGAGCTCCTCAGAAATCTCCTTTGTTCCTCCATGATCCACTTCCACAAACATGTTGTGAAGATCAGACTTTGATAGATCCTGTTCTTTAAATCAAACAGGGTGTCCACTCACACCTGATCATCATCCACTGATTGAAAACACCTGACTCTAATTTCACCTTTAAATTAACCAATAATCCTAGAGGTTCGCATACTTTTACCATCACAGATATGTAATATTGGATCATTTTACTCAGTAAATAAATGAACAAGTATAATATTTAGTCTCATTTGTTTAACTGGGTTCTCTTTATCTACTTTTAGGACTTGTGTGAAAATCTGATGATGTTTTAGGTCAAATTTATGTAGAAATATAGAAAATTATAAAAAGAGCTCACAAACTTTCAAGCACCATTGTGCAAGTACGTAGTATGCTGATGTCCTCCATTGCTGAGGGATTTAAATGGTGAATGTTTGTAGGTGTCAAGATAAGTGTTTTTCTGGAATTTTATCCACGACCAGGCCCAATGACGGAACCAGGGGGTGGCTAATGGTGGCCTTGCCCACTATAGATTAATCTTTGGCGCTTTCTGGTAGATTATTACCATCTTAAACAACTTGAACCTCTAAAATCTCAAAGCGATTTAATTGAACTTTAATTTTTTTTTATAAATGAACCTTTATACCTAAAAAAAAGTTAAGTCAGGTCCGTGGACGGATAGCATTTCGACTAGCTGTTAGCTAATCAGTCTGTTCAGAAATACATCATATCTATATGTCTAAATCCAGATTGTCAAAAAAGTTATCTACAACAAATATAAAACATCATTATTCATACTTTCTCCACAGAACCCAGCTTAAAAATATCTGAACTACCTAGCTCTCCTGTTACAAAATGTGTCCTCTGAAACGGAAAAACAACATCAGACACAAATGTCTGATTCAGCCACAAACTTTATTCTGTGCCACCTAGAAAATTCTTACAGTAACTGAGTAAAACAAAACACAGTTTTTGGTCGGTCCAAAATGATGGTAAAACCCATCTTTGGACTCAACGTCTAGACTTTTACTTGACAAATGTGCAGCAAAGAGTCATGTAAATGTCTACAGAAAACAGCTTTGATTTAATGTCCTGATGCTCAGTCATCCAAGAAGCATCTGTCCAGATGACCTGACAATTTTTTTGTGAGCTTTGATTGAAATAAAGTTATCTTCATCATGAATTCTTGTGTGATTGTAATGTTTGGGTTAACAAGTTGAATAAGTAAAAACATTTTTGTAATTTCTAGACGTTTTTAGGCCCAAGTGTATGTCTTAACAGGTCCAATGTGATTTTGTTATGCAGATAACTGGGTCTGATACGGCTAAGTATATAGCTATAAAAGCCAAGTGGAAAAGAAGAGTGGTTTCTTTAGTTTCAGATTCTTTTAAACATTAATTTAAGAAAAAAATAGAGTAAATGCATTAAAGGTTTCGGTACTTTTGCTTACCTGTGATGAAGACCCCTCAGCTTGCAACTTTCAGTCAGCATCATGGTCACCTGCACCTCGGAGGCATGATCTGCAGAATTTTATTGAAAACATAAAACTACAACTAAAAGACAAAAGTAAACGTTGACATTTATAGGAATGAGGATGCATTAAGTTTTTAAGCACACATGGTTTTGATTTTCTTCCTTTTCAATGAGCAACGGGTCTGCCAGCAGTAATTTGTAATGGGAACCTGACCTGTGCCAGTTTCTAATCTGTGCACATCGCCTGGTTCTTATGGAAAGTAGTATTGTTCCTTTCCCAGTGGGTATATGAGAAGGAAGCAAAGAATGTAACAAAGTCATAAGTAGCACGAGGATATTGTTCACAGGGCGGTATCCACCCCACTCTGAGTAAACATGAGAGGACAGAGGGGTCAAAAGGTGGACTGGGAGAGAAAGCTGACACATGCCACGAACAAAGAAACTGACTGCACAACGCGCTGCACACCCCTTCCACTCACATGCAAACTTGCTCTATCAAACTTATGATTAATCTGCTGGCAAATGTGTTAAAACCATCAAATCAGAAGTATTTGGAACACACTGAACTCAGCGTGTGACCTGAGCTCCCTTACATATTTCCCTCTGAGCCGATGAATCACATTTAAACTAAATAATAAAACATTTACTTGAGCCGCTACCAGGATTTAAAAGGTTTGACTTGTTTAAAAAAGCACTGACTGCATTGTCATGAAGACTAGTAAAAAAAATTATCTAAGTAATAAAAAAGTCTGCACAATATTTTTCTCATTTTGATGGTTAATGCGTCCTTAAAATAAAAATTTGTAAGCAAAAGCTGTAAATGGCTGCCAACTATCATGTGCCTGGAAAACAGCAAAGACTAGCAGCTCAGCTCAGACTCCAAACCTCAAGCCATACAAACGTAGTGTCCCGCTAACACCCCCGACCACTGCCAGCAGTAACGTAGTGCTATGCTAACCAACCCCTGCACCCAGTACAAACATAGCACTTCTCTTACACCCCTCCACCCAAGTTTGACAAAACCCCAAAGCGACAATCACCCTCCCAAGACCAGTAACCCAGAAGAAATGCTGAATAATCATCAACAGAGCCTCATGGGTTGCAGAGAAGACATCAAGATGGTTGTTGATCATGAGGGACAGGTGGTGGATTCATGCTTCTTGGACACAGACTGGGAACTAATTACTCCCAGCAAGGTTGTCTGATGATGAAACCCCCACGACACCAGGTACTATCACTGATGATGCGTTCAAGTGCATCAACAGATGTATGTAACAAAGAGTATGTTCAAAATGACAAATGATTATCAGTGACTACCATTCTCAGTTGGTCTTAAATCTCCCCTCTTCAAACTAAAGCACCATGAGCAGAGAAGCACGATATTATCAGCAGGGTATTGGTCGATATTAGCATTAAAGTTCAATATCGGACATCGGCCATTCCATCAAAATAACTCACCAATATAAAATACGCTGTTTTTGTAGGACAGCCCAGTGACAAGGATGCCTGCAGCGCCAGCACAACGTCACACGCGCCTACCCGATCTGATCACGGTGGAGAGGAAGAAGTCAAAAAGTCGTCGGTGTGGAAGTTTTGTTTCCGTTGAGGATGCTGGATTCCGAAGATCTTTGGGCTACGTTGAGCCTTGCTACATTGTCCCCAATCAGATATTTTTCCGATGTAGCCCTACCTGAGTTACAAATTGTCATTTCCAACGCCATTGAGACGCTAATAGCCGATAGCACTTGGGTGAGTTTTACCACAGATGTTTGGACATCAGGTGTTAGCGGCACAATAGATAGACAAAAACTTTGAATTTAAAAAGTCTGTCCTTCATGGACAAGAGTGCAGAGGAACCTACACTGCAGCCATAGGAACCTAGAACAAGCCTCCACAAGTGAAACAGCATTGCAGGTGAGTACTGCTAATAAATAACATTTAACACTTTTCATTTAATATAAGTTAAAGTGCAATGCATATGGCTGTTACTGAATATATGTCACCAGCTCTTACACAATTTTTTGTAGCAAATAAGCCTAAATAAGAGGGCTATGTTCTGACAAAGGAAAGTATATAAAATATCAGTATCAGCCAAATAAGTTTTAACATATCGGCCAAAAATCCAATATTGTGCATCCTTAACCATGAGTGCTAATAATGTAAAGGAAGCACTGGCTTTTCATGAACCCATTTAAAAAATGTGTTGAATGTCAACTAGAGTCGATTATTTGATTCATCCCTCCATCTGACACAGAGAGACGATGACCCAAGCAGAACAGTTTTCACTGTTGCACGCACAGATGTGAACTTTGTTCTAGGTTTACACGATAAGGGCAATTAAAAATAAGGAAACCATCTTCAAGTTGCACTAAGTTGTGTTAAGTTGTCCAACCTAAAGAAACATTAGCAACAGATAAAACCAGATGCACTGGTTCTGTCTTAGGGATGGCTTTATTTAAGATAATGCACTTTTTATTTATTCGTCTTGTCCTTGACTGTTGCAGAACTCCAGAGAAACAGTCAAGATCAAGTCCATGAGGCTCATATTGGTGCAGGGTGTGAGAAGCCTGCTCCATGTGTACATTTACTGGCGAGCCAGCGGTACGTAAAGTCTTCAGTCATTTACTTTGGTAAAAGCATCAGGAGAGTTGTACAAAAAAATGGAAAAACAAAACGTAAACATGACAGCAAGATTTGTCTGACATTTATAAATATGTCTCAATAGCAGCACAAAGAGTGCATACCTTTCACCGTCTTCACAAAGACCTGCTTCTCCTTCGTAGGGTCTTTTTCATCCAGCAGCACTCCATGGAAGATGCGGCCAAATGTGCCTGTCAGAGAGCAAGAACAGGTTCAATAGGAGGAAAAGGGCAGCGAGGAGGAAGCCAGAGGCATTTCATGCTAAGACAAATGTCAGCTCTGTTTGCCATGGCTGGCTGATCTGTGGGCAGAGGTGGACTAAACACTTTGTCTCTACACAAATTAAGGCAGATTTAGCCTCTGTTCTGCTGAGAAAAGCTAAAAGAAGAACAGCTCGCAGGACTTTTCATCACTTGGGACAATTTAAAAAGATGCACAGCACTGAGGGAAAGCCAAGCATATTTATCATCTTCTTTGTTACCCTGTTGCCTCAGGAATTTCAGGAATAAAAAGCATAAACCATCCACAAGATAAACGTAAGGAAGAAACGCTCCAGGGCAAACTAAGCCTTATGTTTCAACAAGAAAAAAAAGAGAAGCATAAAAACAGGGTTAGAGTGTAAGTACCTCCCTCTCATCTCTGCCCTCCTTAACAAACCTGTCTGGACCTGCCGGCTCTGAAACTTTAATCTGCGTTCACCCCTACCAAATGGAGCCTTGGATGTCGTACCTTCTTTTATTTGAATATTCCTGATGGGTTTTCTGTCATATTGCACACAGGACCCGATTGTTGATAGGGGACGGCACTGGAAAACAAGTCAGACGGATATACAAGTGCAGATTTGTCAGGCCCTGTGTTTACTCCACAGTCATCAGTGAGAAATCTGATAACATAGCTGCAGCACTTTGAACTTTGTAGCAGCTTTGTCTTATCGAGAATCAGCTTTATTTCGAGATAAGACTTGACTGAAACAAGGTGGAACAATAAGGCCTGTTCCTGAACAGTAGGGTAAAAATTGTGCCAAACTGAAAACCATCACAGAAGTGATGGGCACATAACAGGCTAGGGCCACCCCTGATGTGAAACAATGTTTTGCTACTGTATTCAAACACTTTGCGCTGTCACAGTGTTGTGGCATATTTGTGGTGCAATAAAGCCTCTGCCATTGATAAGTGCGGTTCCACTCTGCTCCGTCTTATCGGTTCTTTGGTGATTTGCCACCACGACTCGTTTCTCCACTCTCAAGGCAGGATCGTCAATGCGAAGAGGGCGGTATTGTAACAGGTCATTGTTCGAGCCACTCCGCTCGTTGTGGTCCTTAAATCATCCTATAACTGGACTTCAATTTCTTTAGCTTATCTCAACACTGCTTATTAGTCGAGGTGCAGCCATGCTGCGACATCATCTCCAATATCTCTGTAAATGTGCTCATTTCTTGCGGAGCCGTCCGTCAACACGACGAGGAAATGGAGGTTCAGATGTAGTTTGCAGTTTTGCTGGGTGGGTCATCCAGTGACGTACTTCTGCTGGCTAATCAACAGCTGCTCTCTGTTTAATTGACCTCTCAGAGCAGCCCATTTGGAACCTCAAACAAGATGGTCTCATAAACCGGGCTGAGTGAAGGAGGTACAGACAGTGGACAGGCCCAGAACTGATGAGAGTTGACACAGCGGCAAAGCTGCATGTGTTGCCGTTTCGTTTCTTGTGTGTCAGGTTAGAGCTGTGAGTCAGAGTTGTAATTCTTTGTGTTGCTGGCATTATATATATAAATATGTTTATGATGCCATGTGGTTGCGGCTGTGTACATATTGTGTTGTTAGCCTACCAACAACACATACTCACCATTCTTTTGTACTGGTTGTGTGCTGTATCCTCACATGATAACACAGACATTTCAGAAACATCTAAAAAGTTAAGTCAGGTCCTCTGGACGGGTTCAAAAAACAAAAAAATTGTAGAAACGTTTCGTCTTTCATCTGAAAGACTTGCTGGTGAAGATTCTCAGTCATCCAGGACATGATGAATTAAAAAAGTGTTCAATACAAAAACAACTGGACTTTATTTGTAACAGAAGACGTTTCGCTTCTCATCCGAGGAGCTTTCTCAAAGAGCAGTGAGTGAGGGATTCCGGTTATACGGCTGAGTGAGATAAGACACACACACACACATATGTAGCTTGGATATTCACACCTAAACACCTTAACAGTAGGGGTTTCTTAAGGTCTTTGTTACTCTAATTCACAGATGAGGCCCCTCTCTTCCCATCAGGTGTGAAAACTGGCTGGGAATCAGTCTTAAAGTTGCATTATATGTTTTTGAAAGTGGAAATCTGAGGCCTCCTCTGTTAAGAGATGTTTTTTCTCTTTTTACATAAATTGCTTCCTTCACCCCCCTCTCAAACCATCTGTGTTCTCGGTCCAAAATGTGCACATTTTGGTCCTCAAAAGAGTGTCCCTTCTCTGTGAGGTGGAGGTGAACAGCAGAATCTTGTCCTGTGGAGGTGGCTCTCCTGTGTTGAGCCATGCGTCTGTGAAGAGGCTGTTTAGTTTCTCCAATGTAGAGGTCTGGACAGTCCTCGCTGCACTGGACCACATACACTACACCACTCTGTTTGTGTATGGGTGTTTTGTCTTTAGGGTGGACCAGCCTCTGTCTGAGAGTCCTGCTGGGTTTGAAATGTACTGGGATCTTGTGTTTGTTGAAGATCCTTCTGAATTTCTCTGATACTCCAGCAACATAAGGGATGACAATGTTTTTACGTCTGCTGTTCTCCTTTTTCTGTTTATTTGTGTGTTTTGTAGATTTCCTTGCTGACTTGACAAAAGCCCAGTTAGGATATCCACATGTTTGAAGAGCTTCTTGAACGTGTTTCTGTTCCTCTCTTTCCATCTGAATCAAACAGTCCAAAAAAGGCAGTTTGTTGTTGTTTGCATCCTCTCTGGTGAACTTGATGTTGTTATCGACCGAGTTAATGTGTCTGGTGAACGTTTCTATTTCCTTGGCTTGGATTTTGACCCAGGTGTCATCCACATATCGGAACCAATGGCTTGGCGTTGTTCCCTCAAAGGAGTTTAGGGCTCTCTGTTCCACTTCCTCCATGTAGAGATTGGCAACAATGGGTGACACTGGAGATCCCATGGCACAGCCGTGCTCCTGTCTGTAAAAACTGTCATTGAACTTGAAATAAGTGGTGGAGAGGCAGAGGTCCAACAGGGTGCAGATCTGGTCTGGGGTGAAGTTGGTCCTGTTGATTAAGTCCTTGTCTGGTAGAAGTTGTTTTCTGACGGTTTCTACTGCTTCAAAGATGGGTATGCATGTGAAAAGAGAAGTCACATCATACAATACAAGGGTTTCTCCTGGGGTTAGTTTCAAGTGTTGAACTTTGTTAGCAAAATCAATGGAGTTCTTTATGTGATGAGGTGTGTTTCCAACAAGAGGAGCTAAAATACCAGCCAGATGTTTAGCAATATTGTATGTCACTGAGTTCATGCTGCTGACGATGGGTCTGAGTGGTGTTCCTTCTTTGTGGATTTTTGGAAGTCCATAAAGACAGGGAGTGGCTTCCCCTGGGTACAATCTATAATACAACAATCGACTGATTGCTTTCTCCTTATCAAGTTTTTGTAGGTAATCTGTGACTTTCTTTTTATAGGTGCTGGTTGGGTCCCTCTTCAGAATCTCGTAGGTGTTACTGTCGCTCAGTAGTGTAGTTATTTTTTCCCGGTAATCAGAAGTGTTGAGGACTACTGTGCATCTTCCTTTATCAGCTGGTAAAATGGTGATGTTTTGGTCCTGGCTGAGTGATGTTACAGCTTTCCTTTCCTGTGGTGTGAGGTTTGAAGGAGGCGGTTTGGCAC